TGTGTGACTGGCCCAAGGTCACTCAGCAAGCTTTCATGGCAGAGTGGGAATTCGAACCTGGGTCTTCCAGGTCCTTGTCCAGTGCTAGCCATTACACCACGCTTGCTCTCTTGCATTGCATGGTTCATTCAAAGTGTGTTGGTCTTCACTTGTTGGATTGTGACCCACGGTTGGGTTGTACTTTCAGCTCAGGAGGATTGCACAAGCTGGAAGGGAAAGGATAGGTCTAGACAAATGTTGTACAATATAAGGGAAACTATTAAGCAGATGCCATATTGCAGACTTTGGTGAAATGTGTATACTGGATCTAGTACAGTGTTCCCCATCATGTCACCTACCAAGCTTCTCTGAAAGTTTGCAGGGCTTTGTTATTGGCTGTCACAACTCAAGTTGAAAGGGTTTTCTGCTGTAATAACAGCTACAGTCACTGCAGGATCAGAAGGGCTGGTAAGCAGCTTTGCTTTCCTCAGTCACTGTGTGATTCCGTTCCTCATTCGTGCTTTCTTTTTATTCCTTCTATCTTCCTCCTCCCCACCTGGCTTTCATTTGTTTGTTTTTATTCTTTTTCTGTGATTCTTTTGCAAAGCTAGGTGGGAGGTAGTTTGGTATCGTGGTTAGGAGCGCAGACTCTAATCTGGGAGGATTGGGTTTGATTCCCCACTCCTCCACATGCAGCTGCTGGTGTGACCTCGGGTCAGTCACAAGTTCTTCCAGAGCATTTCTCTCAGAGCTCTCTCAATCCCGCCTACCTCACAGGGTGTCTGTTGTGGGGAGGGGAAGGGAAAGGAGATTGTAAGCCACTTTGAGACTCCTTTGGGTAGTGAAGGGCGGGGTATAAATCCAGTCTCTTCTCTTCTACTGTATTTGGCTCTGCCTCCTAAAACAGCCATGTTAGATTTGGCTCAACCTACTTAAGCTGCCGTGTTAGGTTTGGCTCCACCTCCTCTGGCAGTCATTTTGGGATGGCAGTCAAAGCCTTCTCTCAAAATTCCAATGGTGCCCACAGGCTCAGAAAGATTGGGACTCAGTGGCCACTGTTAGGTAGTAATCTGTTTTTTTAATGGGGGTTAACAGTTTCTGTTCTCTGAATTTCAGCGGTATTAGCGAAGATGCCAGTCACTGAAGTCTGTATCCCAGCCCTAGAGACTGCACACTATATGTTTCTTGTCATTTTCTGCTCTCTTCCACCCCGCACACACTGCTTTTTGTGGCAGTAAAATACTGTGTAGCCAAAGTAAACGATTTCACTGCTAAATTGCGCCAGGGAAAGCTGCCCTGATTCTGAAACTGTTCCTCTCACGAAGAAGAAATTCATAAATATGAAACCCAAATAAATCCATCTAAAAACTTACTATAGGCAAAAACTTTGCTTTCTGTTCCCCAGAATATGGCAGGAAATTCTAATAAAGACTTAAAGATGCTGAACCAGAGGTCATGATGCTTCCCAGCAGTAGGGCATGGCAAGATGTTAACTTAGTTCAAATATGTTTTGTACAGACTGTGTAAATCTGTGGAGTAACAAGGCAAGCTGGTGAAATTTGGAAGTGTTTGTTTGGTACACTTCCCCATCTGTACCCAGTTATTTTGTCCTCAGATGGAATCACAGAAGATGATTTGAGACTAATCCTTCCTGTTTTCTCCTTCAGTAAGTGCCATTCTGGTTTATCTACAAGTCCCCTTGAATGGGTTGCAGAAGCTCTTCATGTTCATTCTGCGCGCTGCTGTTCCTGTGCCAGAGCTGGGCTTTGAAGTGGCTTAACATACAGACTTTCCACGCAGTGAAAGGGCTTATACAGGCTTCTGCTGGGTGGGGTGCAGCTGCTCGGCTGAGATTCATGGCACACGTGTCACTTTAGTAATGATTGGCGTGGCTGGTTTCTGTTTCTATTTACTCTATTCCTAGGAAAGATGCAAAACCTGGTCCAGAGATCTAACAGTATGAAACAAAAAGAGAAGGTAGGGGGTGGGCCAAGCAGTGGTGCCTTGATTTAATTCTCTGTTGGATTGTGACTTGCAAGCATCGACTTGGAGTCAGAGAGACGCAACCGGAGCTGTTCCCTGTTGCTTTCTTTTCAGATTTATTTGATGTGTAAATAGTGATACGTCAGTTTCCCAGGCCTGATTCAGAGTGGTAGTTTTAGGTCCACTCACTCCAGATGAACTTGTTTAAATGGCACCTGATCAGGTCTGCATGTCTTGCCTATTCTCTGAGGTCCCTTCTGCAGGCTTTCTCCAGAAAAGGCTTGTTTTTTAGGTTATTGTGACAGAGGCTGCAGTGCAAATTAGTTCCGTACAGAGAGAAGGTTCTATACAGTGTGCAGGAGAGAACAGGTCACTATAGAGCTGCACCTTGGTGCACAGGAGTGGCGTATAAATACACTAATTGGTGGGACTAGAGTTGACAATTCATGGAGGTTAGTGTAAGAAGCTAGGGTTGAACTGAAGAGGAGCATTTGAGTGGGTGGCTGTGTCACCCTGGTTGAAAGCACAATTATTAATAGTTAAACTGTGGAACTCACCGCCACAAGATATGGCAATGACCACTGACTTGAAAGGCTTTAAAAGGGAAGTGGTCAGATCTGTGGAGGATGGGGCTATCAATGGCTGCTAGTTGTGATGGATATCTGCACTATGCCTCTTTAAATCAGTGACTGGGGGGCATGGACAGGAGGATGATATTGAAATCATCCTGCTTGCACTGCAGGCTTCCTAGAGGCAACTGGTTGGCCCCTTGTGTGACTTGATGGACCTTTGGTCTGATCCAGCATGGCCCTTCTTATGTTCTTGAGATGTTTGCTGTAGGAGTTCACCTTTGTTGGTTAGCAGTTTCTCTGTCACAATCTGTGAAACTAACACCATCTACTGTAAAAAGCCTTGTCAAACTGTATCCGTTCTGATAAGGAACGCTTACAGAATAATTTGTACCTCACCAATCAAGGGCATTGTGAAGTTTGTCAGCACAGCACTGTTAAGTTGTATTGATCCATGTACAGTGACTTCACTAGGTTTATGTAATAAAATAGTAACAAAAGGCAAACGCAAGTGTAGTTAACAGACTCACCAATTACAACTTGCCAAAAAGCTGAAGAGCTTTTCAGTAGCTACAGTGAAAAAGTACAAAATGTAAACAGTAGAGAACTGTTATGTGCTACAATGTCTAACCAATGGAGAACTACTAAATAATTCGACGTTGTTGTGCCCAGATGTTTCATAACAATGTTTCAAAGTTGCTGAAAACATTTTTTGGAGCTACTCACAATGATCCAATACATAATCGGATGCCAATCTCCAACGTAATCAGCTTCTGTAGCTTCAGACTAGCAGCGGGACTGGCAGCATCTCATAGTGAGCTCTGAGTTGAGTGTGATTTAAGGAGCTTCGCTAACACAGACCAGCTGTGTTGTTTCTAGAACACCTCGCTATCAAGTTTAACTTGTACTTAAAGAAAACATGCCAAGTCTAAAGTTTGATTGAGACCAGACTGATGTACTGCGTTAAGACACGAGATCAAAAACATTTCTCTCTGTAACAGTTTCCTATGCATATCTGTCCTTTCACCTGGTGCTTGTTTGATGACTTCCAAAACTGTACAAAAATCTATCAGGAGTATGATTAAAGATTCTAAAGTGCATAAATGTACCCCAACAGAAATAAGTACCACTGTATTTTATAGATACCTAGAATAAGGCCCATTGTGGAAATAAATACTGTAACAGTTTCCTATGCATATCTGTCCTTTCACCTGGTGCTTGTTTGATGACTTCCAAAACTGTACAAAAATCTATCAGGAGTATGATTAAAGATTCTAAAGTGCTGTATGAGAGGTATGTCCAAAATTTGTGCTCTAATCCTTGAGCGGTGTTCTGCCATTCTAGTTCTAACACTTCTAGATGTTGAGTAGCTTCAAAAATGCTTTTAGTGATGTTATACTTATCTCCATTGACACTGTATGATTTGTTGTATTTTTTGTTAACACAGACTGTTCTCAGTGCATGTCAGTAAGAGTATAAAAACCATAGCAGCTTAAAGGGGTAAGCTGTTGGTTAGATTTACACATTGGCCTTGCAATTTTTTTGTATGGCTCTCCTTTTCTTAATTAGTTATGTATTCTATTATAGAACACCCTGATGAAGGATGAACTTTGAAACGTCGTTATGAAACATCTGGACACGATGTTGAATTATTTAGTAGTTCTCCATTGTTTAGACATTGTAGCACATACCAGTTCTCTATTGTTTACATTTTGTACTTTTTCACTGTAGCTATTTTGTATACATTATTCTCTATTACATGTTCTTCAGCTTCTTGGCAACTTGTAATTGGTGAGCCTGTTAACTACACTTGTTTTTGCCTTTTGTTACTATTTCTTCACCAAGTTTGTATCTGGTTCTTGAAGAAGCTCAGTTGCATAGCTGAACATCATTGTGTTGCAGAGTTTCAAGAGGCTTTTATATGTCTTGTTGGGGAAATTGTCATGTCAGGAGACTGTTCCACTAGGTTTGCAGGGGAGAGCCTCTCCAAGACTTCTGCGATGGATCATTGAGGCGGCAACTTTGGGTATAGTTTTGTGGCAGCAGGCGAGAGCCAAAACTTCTTTTCTGAGCTCTCTCGGTTGGTTTGAAGGAGTTGGTGATAAGGAGATCTTCTGCCTAGTGCTGTTGAATGTTGTTTGAATAAAACATCAAGGAGAGGGCTAGGCTGCTCTTCTGGTAGGCTGAGAAGGTGTAGGAGAAAAGGATGAAAGTTAATTTTCATAGAATGGAGGAACTGAAATTTTCAGCTTTTGAGAGCCAGAGAGGTATCCGAGTAGAAAATGTCAAAGACCAGTATTAGGATGTGTGTTACGAACAGGTAGCTTGGAAGCAGGTAGTCCTACAATTACTTCTTAATTGTAAGCTGTAGCTATTCATTCACCAGCCTTCCCCCTTGTCCCTTAGACAACACTCTCTGAGTAGTAACAAAGCCTTACTCACAGTATATCTTGCTTTCTGTTTCTTCAGAATTCGTGGGAGGATCAGCAACAACTCACTTGGTGTGACTCTTCTACGGGCAAGCAAGCGTCTGACTTCAGTAATGCCGAATTGCTGGAAAAAATCCACCACTTTGATGCTAACAATACGGTACTTTTTTAAAAAGTCCGGGTTCTGCTTTAAATGGGTTTGGGGGAGTAGGTTGAAAGCCAGCACATGGTGGACACAGGAACGGAGTTCCGGCTGGCTCCTAAGTTGGCCACGCCCAGCAGGGACTCTTTAGCATAATAGGCCACACCCAACAGCAGAAACTCATTAGGATTGGCTACATTAGGGGTGTGTGGCCTAACATGCAAAGGAGTTCCTGCTACAAAAAAAGCCCTGGGTTTTGACAACAAACAAGGTAAACAGAATAAGAAGCAAAAGGTGGGTGTGGCTAGATGAGCACACTTCTGATAACACAGGGGTGTGGCCTCATATGCTAATGACCTGTGCTGTCAGGGGTATGGCCTAATATGCTAATACGTTTCTGCTGTTGGTGGTGGCCAATTATGCTAATGAGTTCCTGCTGGGCTTTTTCTACAAAAAAAGCCCTGGATATGATAGCCATTTTCAAGTATTTGAAGGGCGCTCATTATAGAGGAGAGAACAGAGTTGTTTTCTGCTGCCCCAGAAGGGCAGACCAGAAGCAATGGATTGAAATTAAAAGAGTCTTTGGATGAACATTAGGAAGAACCTGTCTTTGAAAGCTGGTATTTTAGGCCTGTGCTGCTGAGAATGATTGTGAGTGGCATTAGGGCAATGACAAAGAGCAGCTGTGATAGTGAGTCTCCTTGGAAAAATTCTCATTTCATATTAACTGATCCAATTTCTTCTCCATTCACTATCAACCTGGAGTTCCATTTACTCACGACAGTTATTGTTATTATTACTTTAATTATTCTCCACCTTTGGTGCAAAGACACGCGGTGTCTGTGCCCACAGTTTTCACAGATGGGGCTACAGTATCTCCTTTGTAACCATGGCATCTGAAATGTCAGTCTGCATGTATTTCTATTGTTCTATTGTCCGGACTGCAGTGCTTACCTTGATTTTGCCAGCTGCTAGGTATAAATGAAAAGCAGGTAATTTCAGTAATTTGGGTGTCTTATTTCCCTCTGTACTGTTCATCTATCAGAAAAATAAAAAATATACTCTGGGTTCCATCAAAGCTCAGTTGTGGCATTCAGAACTGTGTAATTCAGGAACAGTGGGGGAAAAGGCATTTAAGGAGTTATTGATGCCAACATTAAATTTACAATTATTCATAAAAAGAAGGCTATTTGAAGAATTCCCCATGCTGCGCATATACAAAATTCTCTGCTACGCATAAGAAGTTACATTTATTAATAGCTCTTCTCTTTTTTTGCCTGTATCTCATTCCAGCAAAGTAAACTTTCTCCTCCAAGGGGATTGAGCATCCAAAGGATGCTGTGTATTCCTAGAAGTTTATTCACCATTGCAAAAAAGTAATGACATGAACCTATCTCAAGATAGTAATAACTCAGTATTGAAAGCTGTCCAAAATATAAGACATTGGAAACCATAGACACACATGGAAATGAGAGTAATTTATGTGCATTATTAACAGTCATGTTCTCTCACTTCATAACTCTCTAAAAGTAAAGGTAAAGGCTCTCTAAAAGTAAAGGTTCCCTTTCTCGAAAGCCAGTCGAATCCAACTCTAGGGTTGTGGTGCTCATCTCAGTTTCAAAGCTGAAGAGCCAGCGCTGTCCGAAGACGTTTCTGTGGTCATGGGGCCGGCATGACTAAACACCAAGGCGCACGGAACGCTGTTACCTTCCCACCGAAGTGGTACCTATTTATCTACTTGCAATTTCTGGCTTTCAAACTGCTAGGTTGGCAGGAGCTGGAACTAGAGACGGGAGCTCACTCCATCATGCGGCACCCGGGTCTCGAACTGCTGAACTACTGACCTTCCACAGCCTGCCGTTCAGCGTCTTAACCACTTGAGCCACCGCAGCTCCTCATAACTCTCTAGCTGATGACTAATGCAATGACCAAGGGCTGAATTAGATATTCTACTAAACACGGACTTGCTGCTGAAAATGGTACTTTGGGTGTTTAGCTCCTTCCTTCGCTTGTGCATTCCTCTCCCCGACAGCAGTGGGGCACATGGACAGGGAAATGTAGAAAGGTGTGACACTGAGACACAAGTCCTAAAACCTAAATGCATGGCTGCCATTTTCAGCAGCAGCCACATGTTCAGTCTCATGTGATAGGGATTGTCATTGTAAGAAAGATCCTAAGGGGCCTATGCTATATTTATCAAGCCTCCACATTGCCAGTTATCAGGGGTCTTTTCGTAGAAAAAGAGCTGCAGGAGTTCATTAGCATATGGTATGCTAATGAGCCACTAGCCTATTAGCATATGCCATGCCCCCTGACATCACCGGAAGTGGTGTCATAAGGGGCAGCAAAAGGGGGGATGCATCTTCGAAAGCCTCCCCTTCCCTTCCCCAAATGGCCCGGGGTGGGGAGCGAAGAGAGAAGGCTCTTTCCTCCCTTTTTTTATTTCCTTTCTTCTTTCCCCGCTGCTTAATTCAGGCACCTGGAATTTTTACGTAGCACAGCCAGCTCTGCAGATCAGGGAGAAAACCTGCTCTGAGACAGCCTGGCCTCCCTCTGCCCAAGATTCCCCCCTCCCCAAGCCTCCGGGCAATAAATTGTCCATCAGCGCAGTAGACATTTGAAGCTTTTAAAGCGGAGGTGGGTGTGGAGAAATTCAGTGACAGGTCAAGCTTGTATTGTCACTAGGAAGTCCAAGTGAGATGAGAGCCACATATTTCTTGGTTCAAGATTATCTCCCCCTGACTGAACTGATGCTTTCCCCCTGATATGCTCAGTTGCTGCAAGAGAAGCTGAACGAGATGGATTTTGAACTGAAGTCTGCCCAGCAAACGTCCCAGAGACAAGATCACAAAATCCAGAATTTGAATGAGACTCTGAAAAGCAAAGAAATTGAGGTTTGGAATGTTGTTGTATCCTTGCAGACTAAATGGTGATGGAGATTTAGCTGTCCTTGGTTGCATATATAAAGGGACCTCCAGAGAGAGCAGGCATAGTTACATGATGGTGACCCTGCAGAAGCTGGACAAGTTAAACTTTTTAGTATATAGTATGTCAAATCTCGGAAGCTAAACAGGGTTAGCCCTGGTCAGAGGTCATTTCGGGGGGGATCGCAGTTCCCCCGGGTGAGGTATGGGGAGGCGGGGCACATGACGAAGCCCCGCCCCCTGCTTCCGGCCACCCCGCTTCTGGCCCTCATTCAGCCAGGAGGAGGTAGGAGAAGAGGGAGGGTAAGTTGCTTCCTCCCTGCCTCTCCTCACCCCTGCCTGCCTGGGGCCAGGGGGGGCCTTCGCGGGGCTTCCTTGCACTCCCGCCGGCCTTGCAGGTCCACCGCCGGGCCCCTCATGGAGCTGCAAGGCCGGCGGTGGCGGCCGGGACCGTTGGGGGCGGGGTGTGTGGCCTTATGACACACCTCCGGTGATGTCAGGGGGTGTGGCCTTATGACACACTTCCGGTGATGTCAGGGGGTGTGGCATATGCTAATGAGTCCCCCTAGCTCTTTTTCTATGAAACGACCCCTGGCCCTGGTTAGTACTTGGATAGGAGATTACCAAGGAAATGCAGGGTTGCTGCTTAGAGACAAGCAATGGGAAACCATCTCTGTTTGTCTCTCACCTTGAAAATCCTATGGGGTCACCAGTAACTCAGCTGTGACCTGATGGCACTTTCCACCACTTGTCTGCGGAGTGTCACCTCAGACAGGCATGAAAGCAATCTGTGTTGGCTGCTTGTGGCCTGTTTGTTGATCTCTTGCTTGTTCAATCCTGTAGTCTGAAGAACTATACCGTGTCATTGAAGGGCAGAATGAGACGATAACCAAACTGCAAGATATACTACATAGAACCCAGCTTGGACAATTGCAGGTACGAGTCTCCGGGTCTCTTTTTTTTTTCTTCCTGATCCCAAAAGTTCACAGCCTTTGTTGCTCAGAGTATTACAAAACAATGCACATAAGTATATAATCCAGAAAACAGCACAAGAAAAATCTTCAGTAGATTCCCAAAATATTAAATCTCTCCTTGGTCACAGTGCAGATAAAAAGTGCTTCAAATACTTCTGTAATGTGCTCAGGTTCTGGCTCTCCAGGGTGGGGGGACAGAAATGTTGTGGGGCATCCTGTGGCTTCCTCTATTTGCATAAAAATATTAAATCTCTCCTTGGTGACAGTGCAGATAAAACGTGCTTCAAGTACTTCTGTAATGTGCTCAGGTGCTGGCTCTCCGGGGTGGGGGACAGAAATGTTGCGGGGCATCCTGTGGCTTCCTCTATTTGCATTTTATTTATTTATTTTGTTTATTTATTTATTTATTTGTTAGATTTATACCCCGCCCTCCCCAGCAGGCTCTATAATCCGCCTTTCCCACAGGGACTCAAGGCAGATTCCTCATAGTGAGTCAGTACAGTCAACAAAGCTGAGATTCATCGACTGCATCATTGAAGACTGTCAGTGAATCCCCTCAGCAGTTTAAATTCAGATGTTGTTGGAAGCAATGCTCCCTCTAAGCTGTGGAGTCCTGTGAGCAAAAACTCTACTTTCTGAGCTCCTGGCATTAAAGTTGTGAGCAAGCGATTTGGCTGCTACCTAAATTAGTTTGCTCTGGAGCCATCCTTCCTGAGATAAGACAAAAATGTGTGAGCCGGAGGCGAAAAACCTGTGAGCTAGCTCACACTAACTCGGCTTAGAGGGAACGCTGGCTGGGAGATATGACAAATGCCAGAATGGCTTCTCCAGGCAGTTGTCTGGTTCTTCTCTGAGGTGGTGTTCCCACTCACGCTTTGCAGCTGCCATGTAAAACAGGTTTGGAGAAGGGGTCATTAGCAACGAAGGAGAGAAGCAGCAGCATAACCGTTTTTAACCCATTTCCTAGTCTACACCATGCCCCCATCTAACATGTAAAAAAGCAGGCTGTCGGAAGAGTTGAGTAATCTTCCATCCCTCACTTCTTGCCTGCAAATGGCTCCCCCGTCCTTGATTTGCATATCTGTCAGCAGAGGGCGTGTTAGGAATCCTCTGTTCGCTGCAGAATTCTACGGTGCGGTGACTCAAGTGGTTGAGACGCTGAACTGCAGGCTGTGGAAGGTCGGTAGTTCAGCAGTTCGAGACCCGAGTGTGCCACGTGACGGAGTGAGCTCCCGTCTCTGGTTCCAGCGCCTGCCAACCTAGCAGTTCGAAAGCAAGAAATTGCAAGTAGATAAATAGGTACCACTTTGGTGGGAAGGTAACAGCGTTCCGTGCGCCTTGGTGTTTAGTCATGCCGGCCACATGACCACGGAAACGTCTTCGGACAGCGCTGGCTCTTCGGCTTTGAAACGGAGATGAGCACCGCAACCCTACAGTCAGATTCGACTGGCTTTCGAGCAAGGGAACCTTTACCTTTACAGCAGAGAGCGTGTTAGGAATCCTCTGTTTGCTGCAGAATTCTACCCCCAGGGGGGTACATGGCTGCAGTTTAGCCTTAGATGTATACACACAAGTGCAGACCTGTGAACATTTGTACTAGTTTAGAGGAGGCGTGGCAGAGGAAGGAAAGAAGGTAACCCCTTCTCTTAATATATCACCCCCATCCCACGATGAATAATTTCACCAGATGCATGCTGATATGTGGCACAGGCTTCTTTGTCAGAGTTTGATTGGATTTAGCGTGACTTGGGCATGGCGTTGGTTCTGATATCTTGTCTCATGTCCCCACTGAAGCCGGGGACAAGATCAGCAGCAGCAGTGGTGGGGGACACCATATAAGGAATGCCATTCCAGGTCAGCCAGGCCAGTGGTAAGGGTAGCTGCTGAGAATAGTTGAATTCTCTCTCCTCTGCTCTACCTGTCTTCATGGATAGGCCCACTGTTAATTTGCGTGCCACCCCAGGGGGGCACCTAAAAGAATGGGAATGGTCCACGGGGCCCTGTGATCATGTCTGACAGCACAGTTTTAAAAGCTGGTGCTACAAACCTACCGGTTTTTCCCTGACTAGTCAATGCAGTCTAAACGTGCTTCTGTTTTCTGTTTGTTTTCTTGGCTAGGTCTCAGAGGGCGCTTCCTCATCACAGCAGAAGCAGCAAATGGCGCTGCTTGAGCTGCAGAACACCCTTTTCCTCACTCAGCTGGAAGCGCAGCAGATGCAGCGGGCTAGGCAGCAAAAGGAGCGCCAGCTGGCCGAGGAGAAGAGAGCCACCCAGCTTCTAGAGACGTGGTTGCAAGAGGAGCAGCAGCAGAAAGAAGCAGCGTGGAAGCACAATTGGGTATGGCAGGGCATGGCTTCTGCTCCGGCACTTATGCAAATGGAAATATATGAGCCTTAAAGAAACTCGGGGCAGTTTTGCTGTGCTTTGTGGTCAGCTCCTGGGTGCCTTCTGTGCTTGCGCTTTTCCTTGGGAGGAGCAGAAAACGAGCATTTACTTCGGAGGCCGCAGCCACCGCACACTTACGCTGCTATGAATGATACTGCAGATCGTAAAGGCTGATCGGTGTGTATAGATCAGGGGTCCCCAACCCTTTTGACCCCACGGGCAGCTTTGAAATTCATTTTTTAATCATTTTTATTATAAAGGGTACAGGAAAAAAAGAACGAATAGGAAAAAATAAAACAGATAGAAAATATAATGACCAAAAAACCTAGTGTGAGGGCAGTTTTACAGAAATTAAGGACATTCCTTTTTCAAAATATATATGTATATGTAGTATATGGTATAATAGCTTAGTAAATGTTTAACAAGATATATATGGTGTAATGGCATGAAAATATAGCTTAAAATATATATGACCTATTAACTTTAAAAATCTGTATAATGACCTCATTTTACCCATTTCTCATACTATATTTTCATTTTTGTCTCATCAGTCTTACACAATATCATAGATAACGTCATAGAAATTTTTGTAAGATTTCTCACAACAGTTTGTTACAATAAACAACACATACTACTCTTTTCATTTCATATTAAAACATGAGACAGCCAGAGACAAAATGGCTGCCCTGGCTTGCCTTCAGTCACACATCCTTGTGCTGTGGTGGCAGCTGCTGCCAAAGCAATGTTTTCTTTTTAAAAACCTGCACAGCCAATCAAATTACAAATGGTCAGTTAGAAGGCTTATTGGAGGAAAGACCCACCTGGCCCCGCCCACTTTCCAAAAATACTTGGCAGGTGCTGGGAAAGATGTCGGCGGGCACCATGTTGGGGACCTCAGTAGAGATGGTGGTAGTGGGGTGAAGCTCGCCAGGGTTGGCGTTGCTGGGCTTTTAAAAAATTCTTCCCACTGTCCTCTGGGATCTCATGCCTGACCAGCTCATGTTCCTTTTGCAGGAGTTGCGGGCTACTCTTCAGCAGCTGCAAACAGAGCTACAGAACAAGAACTGGCAGTGCTGGACTCTGGAGAGGGAGAAATCCTTGGCGATCAAGGGGCAAGAGCAGAAAATCAAGCAATTGAACTATTGCCTGGCTTACAAAGAACAGCTGGTGCAGGTGGGGAATTGGCATTCAAGCTCTGGTTAGTGTCTGAAGTATCACCCAGTGTCGTACATTTAGGGAGCTGCCTTATTACTGAATCAGACCATTGCTCCATCGAGGTCAGTATCGTCTATTCAGACCGGTAGCAGCTGTCCAGGGTCTCAGGCAGAGGTCTTTCACATCACCTACTGCCTGGCCCTTTTAACTGGAGATGCCAGGAGTTGAACCTAGGACCTTCTACATCCCAAGCAGATGCTCAACCACTGAGCCACTGCGCGGCTCCCCTTCTCATCTGTGTCTCAAAATGGCAGGTGTTGGTGTGGGAAGTGCAGTCAATGCAGGGTAGTGAGAAAACTGTACTAGCTAAACTGGAACAATGGAGTCTCTCTGCATTCCAACAGAGTCTCTTTGAGGGCCCTTCTTTTTGGGTTGGGAGGCAAATAACTTCCTGTTCCATGCCTGTTTACGGAAGCAACTCTGTTCTGCTCCATTTTCTCTTAGATGTAAAATCCATTTACAAACATGCAAGGTAATCATTTGCACAACTACGGCACAGTTAAAAAATGCTGTACAACTAAATAAAGTGCATCATTGGAAAGCCATAAAGCTCCAGAGGCCCTCCTGAACACTTTCAGGGTTTAGAGCAAGATGGGTAGCCATAATACTCTGTCTGCAGCAGTAGAAAAGAGTAAGAGTCCAGTAGCACCTTAAAGGCTGACAAAATTTGTGGCAAGTTAGGAGCTTTTGGTGAGTCAACTTCTTCAGAATTATGAAGAGGTGTTCTTAAGAAATGAGCAGTGACTCACAAAAGCTTATACCCCACCAGGGTTCGTTTCGTAGAAAAAGAGCTAGGGGAACTCATTAGCACAACTCATTAGCACAACTCCTTAGCATATGCCACACCCCCTGACATCACCGGAAGTGTGTCATAAGGCCACACACCCCACCCCCAACGGTCCCGGCCGCCACCGCCAGCCTTGCAGCTCCACTGCCGAGCCCCATGAGTGGCCCGGCGGTGGACCTGCAAGGGCGGCGGGAGTGCAAGGAAGCCCCGCAAAGGCCCTCCCTGGCCCCAGGCAGGCAGGGGTGGGGAGAGGCAGGGAGGAAGCAACTTACCCTCCCTCTTCTCCTGCCTCCTCCTGGCTGAATGAGGGCCGGAAGCGGGGCGGCCGGAAGCAGGGGGTGGCGGGGCTTCGTCATGTGCCCCGCCCCCCCACCTCACCCGGGGGAACTGCGATTCCCCACGATCCCCCCCAAAATGACCTCTGTACCCCACCATAAATTTTGTTAGTCTTTAAAGTGCTACTGAACTTCTTTTCTACTAGATCAAGGTGGGTAACTATGTTGGTCTGAAGCAATAGAACAAAATTAGAGTCCAATGGCACCTTTAAGAGCAACAGAGTTTTATTCAAGGTGTGAGCTTTCGTATGCACGCACACTTCATAAGGCGATGAAATGGAATATTCTGTTTCATCATCTGACGAAGTGTGCCTGCACACGACAGCTCACACTTTGAATAAAACTTTGTTGCTCTTAAAGGTGCCATTGGACTCTAACTTTGTTCTTTTCTGCTACTTTCAGGGTTGGCACCCAGAACCAAGAAGACTCTGCCCCCAGGCTCCCTTAAGTCTAATTTTCTGACCTAAAAACCTTGAGCCTGCCACTCAAATTGACTTTAATGATTAGGGGAAAATACAGATCGAGTGTGCCCATCCCTGTGGCTCAGATCTTTCAGAACTCTGTTTGCAGTAAGTTGTACCCGAGCAATTGCCATACTGCAGGCTGACTGCAAGAACAACTGTCCCTTTTTTGTGTAATGATATGAAGCTGGGTCTGCCCCGACCTGGATGGCCCAGGCGAGCCCGATCTCATCAGATCTCTGAAGCTAAAGCAGGGTCGGCCCTGGCTAGTATTTGGAGGGGAGACCACCAAGGAAGTCCAGGGTCCTGATGCAGAGGCAAGCAATGGCCAAGCCACCTCTGAACGTCTCTTGCCTTGGAAACCCGTTGCCATAAGTCAGCTGTGACTTGACGGGGTGAGGGAAATGAAGCTGGGTGTGTGTGTGTCATAGTTTGGTGGAAGATTTTTTGAAATGAATTAGTGACCTGCTTTTAAAGGCACTGCTTTAAAATTACAGGGCTCTTTTTGTAGCAGGAACTCCTTTGCATATTAGGCGACACACCCCTAATGTAGCCAATCCTCTAAGAGCTTACAGTAGCCCCTGTAAGAAGAGCTCTGTAAGCTCTTGGAGGATTTGCTACATTAGGGGTGTCTCGCCTGATATGCAAAGGAGTTCCTGCTACAAAAAGAGCCCTTTAATAGCCAACTACTTTGCTGCAACATTTCTAGGTTCAGCGTAGCTATGTTGCTACCATATTTATCTGAATTACCAACATCAAACTAATTTGACTAATCTAACTCAAATGTTGACATATAGATGATTGCAAGTGTTTTCGACCTCATTCCAGAATAGGCTGCTGTCAGGCATACTGCCCCTGCAACATGTTGGACTTAGTGCAATGCAGTGTCATGATTATTATTATTTTTTTGCTGTTTGCATTAAATTCCTTCACTTTTTGCATCAAGAGGTGTTTAAAAATACGTAAGATTTTGGAACATACTAACACAAGAGAGACTTGAGCATTTTCTTTTAGTTCACATTTTCTGAAGTCCACAGAATGCATATGAAACTTCAGAATCAAACTACAGATCTTTCAGATGGTGGTTAGAAAGCAACTTGAGTTCTATTCCTATGCTAAAGGGTATATTATTTACTGAGGGACTGAGATATAAATAACCATGGATTCAGATTCCTCTGTGGTTACGAGAGCAGCAGCTGCTTCTTTGCGTGTATATTCGGAAGCAAAGCCCAGTGGGTTGGATCCAGGCTAAGTTTTCCAAAGGCAGAATGGAAGTTTCCTGCCTCTCCCCTCCTACTGTAAACCACCGATCTCTGTGACATGCTATTCCTTAGGGATAAGGAACCCAGAGAATGACATGAAGGGGTCTGCAGTGGGAAGGGGGAAATTGGTGGACGGTGTTAATTTAGGCTGGTTTAAACCCATGAACAGTCGGGCTCACTTCTAGTTCAGTGTTCATAGCACTGCAGCTTTACTATGTATAAAAATAAGCTAATGCACAAATTCTTTGCCACTCTTTAATTACATTATGGGTTGGTATGTTATTGTTATATATACAAGTTTCTTTTGTTTATACATGAGAATGTAAGGTATAAAACTTCTGTCTGCCACAAGATTGATTAACCTCAGTTTTCAACTGCAATCCCCCCCCCCCAAAAAAAAAGACAAACCACAACACTAAGACAACTTTAAGTATCCTGGTGGTGAGCCAACTTGCAGCTGTGTCTCTAACACCGGATATATTTTATAATAATTTATTATTTGCATTTATATCCCACCCATCCCACGAGCGGGCTCAGGGCAGGTAACGTCATTAGAATAAATACCATTTCAATTTAAAACACAATAAAACTTCATAACAGTTGAAACAATGGGTACAGCTTGAAACAGCGTCAGTTGGCTATAAAGTTCTGGCCCGACGGTGCGGTGAGTTCAAGGCCAGTTGTCGGCAGTGTTCCCTCTAAGCTGAGTTAGAGTGAGCGAGCTCACAGGTTTTTAGCCGCCAGCTCACAGTTTTTTGTCTCCGCTCAGGAAGGAGGGCTCCAGAGCAAACTAATTGATGCAGCAGCCAAATGGCTCGCTCACAACTGTAATGCCAGTAGCTCACAAAGTAGGATTTTTGCTCACAAGATTCCACAGCTTAGAGGGAACATTGGTTGTCGATGGTCAGTAAATGGGCGGGTGGCAGCAACCTCAGGGAGGCCTTATATGGGCGCCCGTTGCCTCAACCAAAGGCCTGGTGGAACGTCTTGCAGGCCGTGCGAAATTGCAGAAGACCCCGCAGGGCCCTGGTCTCAGTAGGGAACATGTTCCATCCGGCTGGGGCCAGGACAGAGACCTAGCCCTGGTTGTTATTATTATTATTATTATTAATAATAATAATAATAATTGAGCCCGCACAGGCATTGACGTCAGCAGGCGCGCTGCCACATTCTGCACCAGTTGTAATTTCCGGATCAGCTTCAAGGGTAAAAGTGAGTTGCAGTGATCAAGTCTGGAAGTGACCATTGCATGGGTCACCGTCACTAGGTCTTAGGGGGATTTAAATAAAAGTAAGGCATTCATACTTTTAAAACTATATTGTTTGGTGCATTTTAAATGCTGAGATGTATCATGCATATTTTACATTCAGAAAGCAATAAGAATTTGTTCTGGTTTGATGCGTATTACGTATATTTCAGTTTCTCCCATTTTAAAAAAAGTATGATTTCCTCCTCTCCCTCCCACAACATGTTCAAAGCTTTCCAGAAATTAGCCAGCTCACGTTTTTTAGCTCGCCCTTCCTCCAAAGATCTCAGGGAGGTGTGTGTGGTTTTCACCAGCTTCGTGTGTGAGATAGGCTTAGCTGGGAAGAGAGAGACAGGCCTAGAGTCCCCCAGCGAGCTTCAAGGCTGAGATGAGATTTGAACTTGGGGTGTGTGTGTGTGTGTGTGTGAGAGAGAGAGAGAGACAGACAGACAGACTCTAACCACTATACGAGTGTGTCATTTGTCTGTACTCCTTTGGGAGGCATGCAGTGGCTTTCTGAATAACCTGCAAGGTATTGTATACTTATAGTAATGTGTTATGATTAAAGGGGCAGAAGGTGTCTCCAAATCCATTCTTCTTAGTTAAATTGTCACCTGGGTATCTTACATTCGATAACATGGCCGATACCTGAAATTCCATAAGTAAAGCCAGTTAACATGCTGCACCTGTGCTACAATTCCAATTTGTTGGCGCCATCCACAGCAGCAGCTGTAGATTATCTTACTCAACACCCCCCCCCTCCCCCCTGGGTCTTCCTTCAGTATCATTTTCACCCTTGGCACTTCTTAGACTTGCGTAGTACTGTTTTATATTGCTGGCAGGTGCTGATGAATTCTGTGGCTCTTTAGGAGTGTAAAGAACTTCTGCAATACCATCAGAATCTGGACAAGAGCCCCGCATCTGCAGCTGCTGTTATGGTACAGAAATTGCAACAGCGAATCAAAGACAGAGACGCTGCTCTGGAGGTGAGTGCAGAGCTACCCTCCCTCTGAAGCTTGCCTGTGGCCAGATTTTTGAGATGTCCATCGCTGTCCCTGAGACATGTGTTTCCCCCCCCTCCTCTTTTGCAGGAGGGAGGAAAAACGGGAGCTGAATTTTCCTCCTTAATAACAAATGGGCTGTGCAAAGCCTCAGTTTTGATTTCTGTGCCTTACGCCTGTTTGCATCTGTGACCCATCTTTCCCCCTGCCTGTTCCTTTTGCAGCAAGCAGTAGATGAAAAGTTCCACGTGCTTGAAGAGAAAGAGCAAGAGCTGCAGCGGCTTCACTGGTCTCTGAGAGAGCGAGAGCATGACTTGGAAGGGCTGCGCAGGATCCTGTCTGATAACGAGACCACCATCCAGGTAGGTTGTGGCAGCCAGGATTTAAACATAAGAACATAAGAGAAGCCAATGTTGGACCGGGCCAATGGCCCATCCAGTCCAACACTCTGTCACACAGTGGCCAAAAATACCAGGTGCCATCAGGAGGTCCACCAGTGGGGCCAGGACACTAGAAGCCCTCCCACTGTTGCCCCCCTCCCCAAGCACCAAGAATACAGGGCATCACCTGCCCCAGCCTGTGAGTTCCTACCTATACCTTGTGGCTAATGGCCACTGATGGACCTCTGCTCCATATGTTTATCCAGTTCCTTCTTGAAGCCGTCCATGCTTGTAGCCGCTGCCACCTCCTGTGGCAGTGAATTCCATGTGTTAATCACTCTTTGGGTGATTATCATTTCTTATGCCTCTTCATTCTGTCTGTCTCTGTGGCTTTATCCTGCTTAATATTTGGACGGATACCTAGAACGTCTCTTTCAGAAGGTCTGTCATAGCATCTCTTTTGCCTGTGGCTGTGGGGTTGGGGTTAAAAGGATACTCTGCACTGGTTACCCATCTGTTTCTGGGCACTGTCCTTAAGGCCTTACACAGCTAGGGTCCAGGGTACACAAAGGACTGTCTCCTCCCACACTAGCCACCCTGCTAGTTAAGATCTGCCTCTCAAGACCTGCTCTCTAGACCCTTGCCTTCAGAGGTGAGGCAGGTGGTGACAAGAGACAAGGCATTCTCTGTGGTGGCCGCTTGCCTTTGGAATGCCCCTAGAGGCTCGCCTGATGCATGCTTTACTTTGTTTCAGGTGCCAGGCCAAAACACATCTTTTACCCAGGCTTTTAATTAGGGTTTTTAATCTCACCAGCTTTTTTAATGGTCTTCTGTTTTATGGATAGATTCTATGCTGTTGATGTCCAATGGCTTGCTGGTCTGTCATTTTATTGTTTTAAGCCGCCTCTAGCAGGGTTCTGAAGAGGTGGCATAGAAATATCCTAATTAAATGAGTTTGTCTTTAACCCGATGATTCAGAGTTGCTTAAGTTAAACTGTGTGTGTTATGGCCAACTCTCTCTCAGGTCCCAGCTATGATCTTTCCCCGATGTACAAAGTTCTTTTTCCACCTGGACAGGTGAGAAATCTGACCTTAGAATGTACAGGATGTGTGTTCTACTGCTAGGCTGTGTTCCCTCACCACGAAGTACAGGGAGTTGTGGGGAGTCATTCCAGAGCTGCATTTGGGCTGAAATGGAAGCATCCAGAGAACTCGTCACCGTGTACTTTTGGCTCCGAGGATAGTCTGGCTTGGCCCCCAAATTGACATGTTCCTTGTCCCCTTAATCCCCCCCCCCTTATTTAGGGCCTGGAGAGTATGCTGAAAGCCAAGGGTCTGGAAATGGAGCAGCTGTCGGCAACCTGCCGGAACTTCCAGTGGCTGAAAGAGGAAGTCGAAGCAAAAGCTCAAAGCTGGCAGGCAGAGCAAGCGGGGATCATCCAGCAGCTGCGGACCACTCTGCATGAGAGGAACAAGGAAGTGGAAGTAAGGCTATTTCTGCTTCTGCTGGCATTGGGGAAGCTCTGGGGTTGTGGTCCCTTCCTTCTAGTCTGTGATGGATTCAGGTCTGGCTCGTCTGCAGTTGTGTCCCAAGCTTCACTAACACTTTTAGGAGGGAACGCAGAGAGCAGCTGTTTCTAATGTCAGCCAAGGGATGCGGTTGTCGTAAATCCCATCTGTCCCTCAGCCACGGGCCCGGGTGATTGTAGCAGAGGAGGTTTGCTAACTTCCAAACCTGGAGTTGGAAACCTTCATGTGGTGTTACCAGTTTGGTGTAGTGGTTAAGTGGGTGGGCTCTAATCTGGGAGAACCGGGTTTGATTCCCCACTCCTCCACTTGCACCTTCTGGATGACCTTGGGCAAGCCCTAATTCTGACAAGAGCTGTTCTTGAAAAAGAGCAGTTTCTGTCAGAGCTCTCTCAGCCCCACCTACCTCACAGGGTGTCTGTTGTGGGGAGGGGAAGGGAAAGGAGATTGTAAGCCGCTCTGAGACCAATCTCTTCTTCTTCTTCTCCTTCATCCTAGGCACTCTCAGCAGCTCTGCAATGCAAGCTGGGGCCCGGGCAGAGAGATATCGTAGAAGAACTCTGTTTCCGCCTTCAGCAGAAGGAGCGGGTCATCCAGGAGCTCCTGAATGACAAGAACCGGCAGGCCGAAGAGCAGAAGGCCGAGATCCAGAGCTTGCTCCAAGCCATGAGCGCCAAACAGCAGCAGAGTTGTGTAAGTGAGGTGGAGTGTGGGGTCTCGGGAAGGGAGTGTTAAGGTCCCTCTCAAGAGCCAGGCCTCATGTCCAGCTGCTGTGAGATATCATTTTATGGGCAGGGGAGACGAAGCTAACTTTGTTGTTTATTATTAGCCTTGTCATGCTAAGAATAGCGTTAAGCAAATGACAACATTCTGGTGGAAACCTTAAGTATATAAACAGAGCATCTTGCCCTTGTTTTCCTGTTAGAACTCTTTCAGTGCATCTGCAGATGTGTCGAACCAGTGGTTCAGATGGATTAAAAGAGTTCTAAGGAAAGGGCCTGTTAGTGAGATACTGTGGAGAAGAGGATGCCTTGCAGTGCCAGATGCTGCTGACAAAAATAACAGATGGTGGCCGAAGCCTTCTTGCCAGCTTAAGAGCTTTCTGAGGCATCTGGCTGTTGGAGCGGATGGATACTTTCATGGTCCCCCAAGTCAGTTCTTATAGGTTGACGCTTTCTCTCTATCTTGGTACTTAGTAGCTTTCTGACTTCCCCATTGCTTTCCTTACTGCCCTGTTAGTCATCTTCTGAGAAGATGGCACAGGCTTTAATAGAAAGAAGCTGTGAGCTCCAAGTCTTGCACCAGCAGCTGATGGGCCAGATCCCTGGACGCAAAGCTGAGGGTTCCCCCGCCCGACTCTCACAGGAAGGACAGCCAAGTAAAGTAAGTGTGTGTGTGCGTATGTGTGTGCTCCGTGGCATCTTTTGGCATGTGGCTATGAAAAGAAGGGAACCTGGTTGCCAGAGGAGAGGGGAAGGGAAATTGGGTCTGGAAAACGGCAAATACAGAACACTCAGCGGGAGAGGATTAATCGACCTGTTGCAGGGAGAAGGTCTGGTGGAAAGAAAAGGGAGGCGAGGACTGTGCCAGCGGCCGTCCCAGGTAAAGTGCTGTCTCCTGAGCAGGCCCTTCCATTTTTTAGTCACTTTTGCCCGCTTCACTGTCATCGCCTGTTGTGCTGCCAGATGATGTTGGGGGACGTGTGGAATTTTCCCTTCGGCTCATGCCCAGTTGATTGTCTCCTGATATTGCTCAACAGTCCTGCTGGGATATCCTCTGATATGTAACAAAATCTGGAGCGAGTTGCCAGTGAATGACCCTTTGTCATTGCTCGGTTCTTGTTTTTCGGTTTGGTTTTGCTTGAATGTCAGGTTCCCACAGCCAAACAATTGAGTACACGCTTATCATAAGGTGATAACTTTATTGTAAGAGCTATAGAGGCAGTAACATCGTCACTGTTGGGAATGGCTACGTTCCTACAAGCAAAATGGGATATAGGGTATTCGTATGCACCCCCCCATCCCTAGGCTAATCGGCCTGACTCCCATGCGTGGGAGAATGGGGCCCCAGGCCGTTAAAGCCAAAGCTGGGAATCGAAACTAATCCCACAGGTAATTGATGGGAAGACACTACACAGGCAGCCTACAAGGTCAGAGATAATAAGGAACAAAGGAATGCAGCAGCAGTTGGTACACAGGTCAAGCAGATGCACTCCTGCCCATAAACATCATGGAAGCATAGCTGACACCCGCTTCAAGCCAGTGCTAGAAGGATTTTGCATAAAATAGTACTGTGACAGGTGAACTGCAGTCTTTTTTTAACATGGCAGATTAACTCTTGCAGAATTTCCTGGAGCAGTCCCGTTTTTACTTTCCAGGACGCTAGGTGTTGCTGTCTGTGGCTCATACTTACAGTTGCTGGGTGCGGCATACGCAGGGCAAACCATCTGAAGGAGAAGATCAAGAGATCCTCCTGGGCCACCATGGCCCCATGGGCAAACTTTTCAGAATTTACGAGCAGGAGAAAGATGCTGAGTGAAATGGAGCTGCTTGCATTTGAGGGGGGGAAATACAGTTGGTTATAAAGTGTTTTTTTTAAATACTGAAAAAATATTGTTTCCTGATGCAGTGAACAAAGAAGGCACTTAATGATTCAGTTCTAAAGTACAAGCCAAAGATGCATTAAGTTTTCTGTTACATCATTGATGTTAGTGGTTTTAACCCAAAGGTTGTAGATAAATATTCACTTTCCTTTGTGGGTGTGCTTTCGACGCAGAGCCCTGTTGCGTGTTCGTTGGTGTCTTTTGTCTAGTAATGCAGCCCTGTGTTAATTGAGAACTTACATCACTTTCAGTTGTGCAAGCTCCTCAGTTTCATTTTCTTAGCCTTCTTGGTAAACCTTGTCTTCTTTGGCTTTCATTCTGAAAGCCAGAGGGGTGTGTGTTCTCTGTCTTCTTGCTCTCGCTGTGTACATACAGAGGCTGCATTCGATTTTCCTTTCCTTCCTTTATGCTCTTGAGTTGTTCTCTGCCATTCTTCTTGGCAGCTGATGATTGCAGCGCTACCAGTTCAAGGTACCCCAAGCCTCCTGTGAGTGGAGTTAGCCATCAGTCCTTCCGCTTGTGACCAGAAGCTAGGGTTCCCAGACCCCTGGTTCAGGCTAGGGATCCCCCAATTTGGGGGGCTTTTGCCTGCTGCTGTCCAGCTGGACAGTACAGAAGCCCTGTCCCCGAACAGAGACATTGCACAACAACGTCCTCAATGTGATGATGTCATGCGGAAGTGACATCATTGTGTTGGCGATGTCGCATGGTGACACTGCTTTTTGGGCAGAACTCTATGGTTTGAGCCCAATTTTAAACCATAGAGTTTGCTCAAAAAGCAGAGCATCGCTGACATGATGACATCACTTCTGCACGACATCATTGCATTGGGGACGTTGCCACCCACTCCTGGACCGCCCCCCAAATTCCCCCACCGTTGCAATGATTGCTCCTGGCAACCCTACCCAGGAGCATTTGGGCTTTCTCTACCCCAAACAGTTTGAGGCTTTCATGGCAAGCTGCCTGCTTCTAGCAGTCACCTCACAGGAACAGAGGCTGTTACAGAAGCAAAGCTAGGCAGCTGCTCACTGCAAAGGGGGGCTTCCATGTGATCCTGGCTGTGTTGCTCCCAGCACTTCCAAAGACGACTGTGTGGAGCCACTGCATGCAGAAAGACATGCTGCAGCAGCTGAGCTTGTACATGTTGAAATACCTGCCATTGCCGATCAACTTTCTGAGTGCAAGACCCTGCTTATAACATAGGGATTTCCTGCTTTCCCCCTGGATGATACAAAACCCTGTACCTCCTGAGGTACAGCTGCAAGGACAGTCTTAAGATCGTCATTGCAAGACTCTGTTGAAGTGGAACAGATTTTGTGTCTTTGGCACATTTCTCCTGGGCTGGCAGCCCTCTTTGTCACAATAGCCGGTACATGAAAAAAATGACAATTTTAGGCTGCCTGTGCATAAGACGTTTGAGTGACGGGGACTGCCTGGGATGTGCATCTTGCATCAACAAAGTATCTACAAACTCAGCAGTTTTGTCGCCAAGGCCAAGCTCAGGGGAAATAAGTGCAGCAAATTTGCAGTAGGCTAGCCATGCACAGTTCTGAGTGCCTGTGGCCTAAAACATTACAGAAACCTATCCCCCCCCCAAAAAAGCATTTCTGTACATTTCTTTCCTTTTTGTGTATGTTTTTGAAGGCCATAAATAAATGTACATAGAGTGCTTTGAGGGATAAAAGGGACAGCCTGTCTTTTTAAAACAATGGTTTGGAGATTAACAATTGAATAGGCTGTGATTGCTGGTAAGTTTTATGCAGGGAAAGTAGGATGTTCTCTGGGGTTTTGAGTGCTTTATTAGTATGTGGCTGAGAATATTAGACCCATCTTGATTCCTTGTGCAAGCGGGTTCTCCCCAGCTATAGCAAGAGCTTCTTTTGAGCAAGTACAAAAATGTAATGTCTTCGTTCTGAGCTTGGATTTGCAGTTCAGAAGTGCAGAGTCTGAATATTCTGAAAAGAGATGCTCCACTCTCACCCCACCTCCCCTGAGGCATACAGGTATGGTGAGCAATATCAGTCAGGCGAGAGGGAATCAGTGGTCCTTCACAGTTGAGGGAAGCTTTATCAGCCAGTTGACTGTTAGAAAGCTGTACTCGAGCACCTTCTTGCTGGCCTCTGACAAAGAGAGCGTTGACTCTCGGGAAGCTTATACCTTGGAAATCTTGCTGGGTTTTAAGGTGCCACCAAACTCAAATCTTGTTCTTGCTACTGCAGGCCAGCAAGATGACCCACCTGTGAAACTATCCTTGCTGGTCTCGTTTGTCTGGAGTCTAAAGTCTTGCTCAGGCCTCCTGGACTCTTGAAATATCAGTAAAGACATCTGAGTGTGTTTTTGTATTCTCAGGCACTGAAGCAAGGAAGGTCTGATGAGAACATCACTACCGCGATCCCTAAGGGAAAAGACAACGCGTCCAAAAAGGAGAAAGGTTAGTCCTTGGTGACTTTAGTTCAGCGAAAGGCCATGCTTGCTCACAGCGCTGTTCTGCAGGACCATGTAAAAAATGGTCTCTAAGCCCATGAAGTTTAGGAGCCCTTAAACAAGCGCACTTTCTTCCCCCTGTTTTTGGAAAAACAATCCAGCTTTTGGGTTGGTGGAGACCTGCCTCTGTGGGTAATTTGGGGAGCCTTCTTGGTGCCCTTAGGAAATTCCTCCCATGTGCTCTGGTGGTGCTCAGATGCTGGCCTCTCAAGGTTTGACCGCTGCCGAGTCACCAGTCTGGGACAGAGTTGATAATGTAGATTGTTGCTAATGTGAATCAAATGGCTCGTTGCATTGGAGGTCTGAAGTCAGAACTTCATAGTCACAGAATCTGCTGGAATCTCCTAGGGGCAGTTGTTGCCTAATAGTAGATAACAAGGAGGTGTCTAGTAAGGTACCAGTCCCTGAGTGTGAGGTTTGCAAGAAGATGAAGGCAATAAGGAATTAGGGAAGGGTAGTGTGGTGTGGGGAGCAGGGAAGGGGAACATCTTTCCCGGTACCGTGGACATGAACTAAAAAGCAAGCATCTGTAACCTAAAGTTGGTGTGTGTTTGTAATGTATCTTACAGTGTGTTAAGAAGCTAGGATAGTTTAGTCGTTTGAATGTTGGACTAAGACCTGGGAGAGCCATGCTAAAATCGTTACTCAGTCACAGAACTTGCTAGACAATCTTGGGCAAGTCACTTGCAGCCTGGCCTACCTCACAGGATACTTGTTAGGGCAAAATGAGGGGAGAACCATGAATATGCCACCTTTTTAAAATTTATTTATTTATTATTTGTATTTCTATCCCACCCATCCGGCGAACGGGGTCAGGGCAGGTAACATCATTTGTAATAAATAGAATTTAAAACACAATACAATACAAAACATTAAAATTGGTAGTGACAGCTTAAAACAAAAATTCAGCTGGCTATAATGGGTTCTGGCCCGTTGATATAGATGGAATAATGGCCAGTTATCAGTGGGTAGATGACAGAAACCTCAGGGAGGCCTTTTTTGGACAGGGGGAATAAGATGCAAATTATAGGGCGCATTTATTTGCTTACTTGCTGTCAGTATAAATTCTTATCTTCTGCGATTTTTTTAATGTGTTAAGTAAAGAAAATCTGAAACAGAAATTCAGCTTTTCATTGTTTTGTGGCTTCTTCTGCTACCCTGTGAACCTCTGCTGGGTTCCAAGCTTTACCAAGAGAACACAAGGGAATAAAGGCGCCCATTGTGGATAGAGACTTTCCAGCTTGGCTGCACACCCCAGTAATTTGAAACTCTCTTCCCAGGATAAACAGGGGTAGGAGATTCCTAGAGGGGTAAGAGAGTCTTCAGTGGGATAGCTGAGTTGCAAGAACCTGTGCTTGTCTCCTGACCCCTACTGGCCGCAGCAGAAAAAGCAGTTCAGAGAGTATCTCTTGGTGAGAGAGAAGAGAGAGGAAAACCGTCCTCATTGATGACTGGTAACTAGGGATCCTGATCAATGCTCCCTCTAAGCGGTGGAGTCTTGTGAGCAGAAATTCTACTTTGTGAGCTACTGGCATTAAAGTTGCGAGCGAGCGATTTGGCCACTGCATAAATTAGTTTGCTCTGGAGCCCTCCTTCCTGAGCTAAGGCAAAAATGTGTGAGCCGGAGGCTAAAAAACTGTGACCTAGCTCACACTGACTCAGCTTAGAGGGAACACTGATCCTGATGAATCAGAAATGTTCCTTGCACAGTAGGATGGAGAACAGATACATCCAATGTCATCACTTGCTGGGCTACTACAGAGGAGCATATATGTTAGTCTGTTTCAGCTAAATTAAACTGAAGCAATGGAACATTTAAAGACTAGCAAAACATATTCCAGGGAGCTCTGGCTCATAAAAGACTTGGTGAGAGAGAAGAGAGAGGAAAACCCTCCTCATTGATGACTGATCCTGATCAATGCTCCCTCTAAGCGGTGGAGTCTTGTGAGCAAAAATTCTACTTTGTGAGCTACTGGCATTAAAGTTGCGAGCGAGCGATTTGGCTACTGCATAAATTAGTTTGCTCTGGAGCCCTCCTTCCTGAGCTAAGGCAAAAATGTGTGAGCCGGAGGCTAAAAAACTGTGACCTAGCTCACACTGACTCAGCTTAGAGGGAACACTGATCCTGATGAATCAGAAACGTTCCTTGCACAGTAGGATGGAGAACAGATACCTCCAATGTCATCACTTGTTGGGCTACTACAGAGGAGCACGTATGTTAGTCTGTTTCAGCTAAATTACACTGAAGCAGTGGAACATTTAAAGACTAGCAAAATATATTCCAGGGAGCTCTGGCTCATAAAAGCTTATGTTGGATTAATTTTTTAAAAAATTTTTTTAGCTTTAACGGGCCACGGGGCTTCTGTCTAATATAGCTGGAGCAGTGTATTCTTGACGGGATGAATTGAGAAGTCCAGAGGGAATTGCTTCTATATTCGAGCCTTGCACTCAGCACTGAATATTGGCAATGGATTTCTTGATTTAAGTTTAGAAATGCCTTTTGAGCTTCGAACAATTGATAGCAGGTGTCTGGGTGTCCCTAGCCCCATCCTGGTCTAAGGCTTTGGAGCTACAGGTGTCATTTAATTGTGTGCATTTCCCCCTGTATGTTTGTGTGTCAATTACAGCCACCCTTGGGAGACTGCTGGGGGTGTGGGGGGGGGGTTGCTTAACCCTTTTCTTACCTACTAGTTGGTGCTGGGCAAGCCTCCTCTTGGAGCTGCTTTTCTTCCTCCTAAATGCTGCTTTTAGGTCTGTTTCAGAGTTTTTTGAGTTGGAGGTAAAGAGACGGGCGCTTGTGTTTCCCCCCATGCACCAGGTGTCTCGGAGTCGACTGCCGGACTGGAGAAGGAACTCTCCAGTGTGAAGGACGAGCTTGAGCTGTTGGCGCGAAAGGAAAGAGAGAGCCGAGTGAGTTTGAGGAGTCTGGGGAATGGCATAGATGCGGGATCCCTCTCATGGGGGAATATATCGTGTGCCAGACAAGGGGTCTGCGAAGCTGGCTGGCGTTCCCCATTCCTGTGCTGCTCTTTCTTGGAAATGGCATAATGTTGTCTGTGTATTAGTTTATCCTATTCTGGGTTTCTTGTTTCGAGGCAATGCCAGCTCCTGTATATTGCAACCAACCCAGGACTGACTCAAACAGAAGTGATTGTATATCCTTCCCTCAATTTGTGCTTGGAAAGTTGATTGTAAGTTTCCTGGCTTGTGAAGTCATCAAAGAAACTCCCCGTCGGCTGTCATATCAAATATGTGTTCCTGGGGAAAACCAGGAAGTGCTTCCTCCCCACGAACCAGGATTTTAAACCAGAGCGACTTAGAATCCTGTTTTTTGGGGGGAAGCAAACAGACCCCGGCTAATTTATGGCTGCATTCGGCATCGTGGCAAATTTAACTGAAGTCTTGGCAAGCCAAGAAAGTTTTCAACCGTCTTCCGTGTGCACGAGCACAAGACCAAGTTGTGACTGAGCCCGTTGTGGACAAAGGTTCATCCCAACATCTGGATGCAGCCGTCTTCATTTCGTGGATTGGTTTTGATGCTCCTTAGGGAGGGATGTGACCATTTCCTGCAGAGACCTTAACTCTACTGTGCTGGCTTCCTCCATAGGACTGAAGGCAGCGATGCACTTCCTTGCAGTGGAACAGTTCGATTCTTCGAGACCAACAAGCGTTTCAGGGTGTGTACGCTTTCGGCACAGTCTGACACAGGGAGCTTTGACTCTCGAAAGCCGGTCTCCTGAAACTCTCGTTGGTCTCCAAGGTGCTGCTGGGCTCCAGTCGGACTGTTCCACTGCAGACCAACAGGGCCACCCTCTGAAGCTGTCTTCCTTGCATTGACATCCCTGATCATCCGCAGCACCTCCAAGCAGAACAGGGTGATGATGAGACACCCCTGGTTCTGGAGCCAGCATTTAATATCTGCTTTCCTACAGTTTTCCTAAGGAGAGCTGTGCAGGGCCCTGCAAAAGAGCTCACGGTTTTGTCTGAAAATCCACCACTGGGAAAAGCCACTGCGTGGGGATAGGTATTATGCTGTCAGAACAGGCAGTGTCCGGCATTTCCTTTGTGAAAGCATCTCCCTCTTTGGCATCTCTCCTCCACAGCTGGAATTGTCCGCTCTTCAGTCTGTGGTGGTTTCCCAAGAGGAGGAGCTGCAGGTTCAAGCTTCCGATGTTGAATCTCTTACCAGGAGCATTCAGATCAAAGAAGAACTTATCAAGGTGGGTGCGACCGAGGTCCTGTCAGTTTGTGAAGACAATGGTAGACTTTGAGGTCCTGGGCCACGGACAGCATTTCTTCACTTCCCTCCAAGCAACATTGTTTTGGTTGATTTCCAGGACCTGCAGATGCAGCTGGTTGATCCTGAAGAAATGCCAGCCATGGAGAGGCTTACCCAGGAAGTTCTGATGCTTCGGGAAAAAGTTGCCCAAGGGGAATCGCAGGGGCAAGAAGTCGCAGGAAACAGGAAGCATCAGGTATGGCAGAAAAAGTCTTCCGTGCCACGCAGTAGGCCCAGGCTTGCTTGGTATGGGACGCTTGTGATGTGTACATTCTTATCTCTTTGGAAACCCCAGTGAGGTTGAACGTGAGAGCCTGACCAAGTGACCTACTTGACGAAGCAAGCATTTAAACTCTTTTCATCCAATCCAGCGCTCTTTCTGTTATACCACATTGAACCTTTCATTGTCAAAAGATGCTCGTTCAGTGCATCAAGCGTTCAGCTTTTACATCGTTTGGTGATATGGCTGCCTGTCGAAGCGGTCTTAGATTGGGCTACGGATGGTGCTGTTATGTTTGCTTGCACCCTGAATCCCGCCAGTGCAAGGGGGCGTGTCTTCAGTAAGTAGGGAAGGTTAAACTACAAGGATAAACCTCAGGGTATACTTGGGAGCAGTGGTGTCAGAGGTGTCTCTTGATGAGAGTTTTGCCTCCCCTTGGTTGGTCTGTGCGGAATCAAATCTGTGCTTGCTAAACACAACACTTTCCTTTGCAGCTTTTGCTGCTGCTGGAGGAACTGGCAGCGGAGAAGAATCAGCTGAATGAGGCCCTGCAAACAGAAAAGCAGCTCTACAACACTTTGGTGAAGTTCCATGCGCCTCCTGACAGGTGAGGAGACATCTGGTTCCCAGTAGCTACAAGATATTGTGCCCTGACCTGGATTGCTCAGGTTATCCCGATCTCGTCATCACATCTCAGGAGCTAAGCAGGATCAGCCCTGGCAAGTATTTGGATGGGAGACCTCCAAGGAATACCAGGGTTGTGACGTGGAGGCAGAGAGTGGAAAACCCCCTCTGAATGTCCCTTGCCGTGAAAACCCTACCAGGGGTTACCATAAGTCAGCTGTGACTTGACGGCACTTTCCCACCACCACTTTCCTGTCCCAACTCCCACCACACCATAAGTCAACTGTGGCTTGACGGCACTTTCCCACCACCCCTGCAAGACCTGCATTTCTATATCGGATGTGAAGGGCCGTCAAAAACAAAAAATTTCATTTTGCGGTTTGTGTTTCTTTCCTGTCCCATCTCCCACCACGCAATCCCCCACTCCCAGTTATCTGACAAAGAAGCGTTAACTTTCAAAAGCTTACACCTTGGCCTGCCCTGGATAGCCCAGGCAAGCCCGATCGTGTCAGATCTGGGAAGCTAAGCATGGGCTGACCCTGGCAAGTACTTGGATGGGAGACCTCCAAGGAATACCAGGGCCAGGACACAGTGGCAGGCAATAGCAAGCCACCTCTCTGAAAAAGTCCAAGCCCCCAGTAGAGGTCACCAGAAGTCAACCATGACATCCAGGCTAGCACACAAAAGACACACAGACAGAGAGATAAGTGGATAGATAGGTGGTACACAGATATGGTAGAGGGATGGATGGATGGATGGATGGATGGATGGATGGATGGATGGATGGATGGATGGAATTACACCCTGGAAATTCTGTTGGTCTTTAAGGTGCTCCTGGACTCAAATATTGCTCTCCCAGTTAGCCAGTGAAACCACAGGTAGAATGTTAGATTTATTAAAAACTTCAGAGGGTGGTTCAGGGAAAAGTACTGAGTGGCAGGGCGTGTTCTGGTGCCCTTTCCAACTTTCCCAATGTTCTTGAGAGAGATCCATACAATGGTGCCAGTTGGGTCAGTGATGCAGTTTGATGGGAAAGGGGGTCGGAGCCGCCCTTGGCAGGGCGACTTCATAAGGCCCTCTCCTAACCTTCTTCCTTTTCTGCACGGCCTCCCCAGCACAGGGCAGGAACAGACGCTGCAGGCGGAACTGGAAGGCGCCCGGGCGCTCCACAGAAGGCTGGAGGAGGCCCTTGGGAGGACCTTGGAGCGCTTGCTCAGGCTGGACTCGCTGGACACAAACGGAGGTGGGGAACATCATCGTGTGACGGTCCTGCCCACGCATGCCTTCTGAGCTCTGGCCTTCACACGCTGCCGCTGGCGCAGAATAGAAGCTGATCACTAACAGAGCGCAGCCTGTCCTGACACTTGAGAGGGCTGGTTAGTTCCATACCTAGTAGTCCGGTGGCATTCACTGGAAACAGCAGCCTGTGTGCTGTCACTCACCTTCCTGGTGCGATCCTGCCGGGCCGGGGAGGTGTGTAAAATAGACTTCTTCATCTAATCATTCCCCTCTTCAGTTGCTCTGCCCCCCCCCCCCCCGCCTTCATTTTCCTCCCCTCCTTTTTGGCTAAATAAAGATTATTCCCCATCTCCAACTCCTTCAGAATCTGTGTTAATTGTTGTGTACGATATCACAAACACGTGTGAGGGGGGCGTGCTGGTGAAGTGTTCTTGTGTTGAGTCCCATTTCCCCACACCTCTTTACCCAGTGAATTCCTTGGGAGAAGGAGACTCCTTCTGAGCAATATTTTATTTACTTATTTATTTTGGTGCATTCATATAGATCCCACCCTTTTCTCCAAAGAGCTCAGGGTGACAGACAGGATTCTCCCTCTAATCCTCCTGACAACCCTGAGGTAGGTCAGGCTGAGGGGGGAGGCACCGGACCAAGGTCACACACGGGATTTCAGGGCAAAGTGGGGTTTTGAACCCAGGTTTCTCAGATTACATTCCAGCAATCTAACCACTGCACCCACACTGGCCTCTAATACTGTAGTTTCAATCGGATTAGTAAACACCAAGGAGCTGCTAGTTCACCTTATGAATTGTTCCAGGGGTTAAGCTTGGGTGGCTTCTCAACAGCATATCAATTTTTAATTTTTTTTTTGACAAAGCTACGGCCTCTTGGCCTGTACTCCCATTGCACCCCAAGGAGACTGCAGTAAATTTAGGTGCATTAGCAGTGCCCTGCAGAAGGTATGTTACAACCAGTGTTCCCTCTAAGCTGAGTTAGAGTGAGCTAGCTCACGGTTTTTTAGCTTCTGGCTCGCGCATTTTTGTCTTAGCTCAGGAAGGACGGCTCCAGAGCAAACTAATTTATGCAGTAGCCCAATCGCTCGCTCACAACGTTAGTGCCGGTAGCTCACAAAGTAGAATTTTTGCTCACGAGACGCTACAGCTTAAAGGTTACAACCAGTCTCTACCCAGGAGAGTCGCAGAACTTCACCACCATGTATTGCTTTCAAACCCTCTCAGCCCATCGATCAGCCTTGGCGGCTTCAGCTTAAACTTTGCCTTTGGGCTGGTTGCGTTCAGCTGAACGTGACACATGTTAGGAGACCACCATCCCCATCCCCTGCTGATGTGGAAAGAGACAAGGTGGTCCAGCCCTACGACAAAGCCAAGAACATACTTAGAATCTGAGGGGCAGCACTGGCTTCAGGATGGTGTGTGGGTTTTTTGCATGTGCATGCCTCTTCCTTGGAGTTGCAGCTTTGCCTTCAGGCTTTGCCGTTGGGGTAGCAGCGCTTCCTAGCTTTGCATAGTTTGATTCATGCTGGCTTCTTGCTCTTTGGTGACACATTAAGGTGTAGAATTCATGTCCATTGTTAGGCTTCAGAAGAGGGTTAGGAAGTCTGGTCTACCTTACTAGTCATGGTACCTAAAGTGGAAACCTCCGTGTACAGATACAATATGCCTCTAGTTACCCAAATACCAAGGGTAGCCTATGCAGCATACTATTGCCACCTTATCCTGCTGGAAATATCCAGAAAAACTTTCTTGGTTTGATCCAGCAAGGGCACATAGAGGGTTAGGAAGTCCTGTCTACCTTACTAGTCATGGTACCTAAAGTGGAAACCTCCGTGTACAGATACAACATGCCTCTAATTACCCAAATACCAAAGGCAGCCTATGCAGCATGCTATTGCCACCTTATCCTGCTGGAAATACCCAGAAAACCTTCTTTCTTGGTTTGATCCAGCAAGGGCACATTAATAAAACCATCTTCCGGGAAGGAGTAGAAAATCGCTTTTACAAAACAATTGCACTTCCAGTAGTAGAAATACTATAGATCATTGCTTGGAGAAACAAGCTAGGAGACTCGTAGCAAAGATGCTTAGTTCTTGTAATTAATGAGGTTGCAACTGAAAACATGGAAACCAAATTAAACTTTATGAAATAGGGAAGCAAAGCAAGTTCATGCCTTGTGGAAAACCATGGTTTCTGGGGCCGTTCTAGGGATGGCCGTATATCCTTTTCAGTGCACGTTTTGGCCAAACCCCCTAGTGTGAAGCATGTGCCAAAGCTAGAGTGTATTGCCACTGACTGTATTATAGAGGGGACAGAAAGCCCTTGTCTGTGGTGCATCATGTAGTATGTAAGGCATGTGTAAATGTGCCAATCTAGGATTATTTTAATGGGTTGGATCCAATAACTCCTTTAGTTAGAAGAAGGCTTAGCAGGGTCAAAGTAATTGGATCTAACCTATTTGCTTTGAATGTGTTTCTTTTGAGGATTAATTCCAGATTTTCTCATGGATTTCTTCCTAGTGTCTCCCAAAATTTAATCTTTTCCTAAATGCTTTATTCCGTGGCCCTAAGAGGCCCAAGTTAGATGTCTAATACAGGGCCACTATTAAAAACCTAGTTGAAACTTGTCATATACAAAAATACATGTATTTATCAGAAACACAGTTAAAAACAAGGGCCCAGTGAAAGCCTCGTTAAAAAGTAAAAGTGGCCTAAACACAAGGGCCAATACACATGACCTGACGCGTTTCCGCCCTATTGGGGGCCTTCTTCAGAGGTCAAACAATATTGAGGTACACGTAACAATAATACATATTGCAATCAAACAACTCATAAGTTGCTTTGGACCTCTGAAGAAGGCCCCCAATAGGGCGGAAACGCGTCAGGTCATGTGTATTGGCCCTTGTGTTTAGGCCACTTTTACTTTTTAACGAGGCTTTCATTAGAACCTTATTTGTTTTTAACTGTGTTTCTAATAAATACATGTATTTTTGTATATGACAAGTTTCAACTAGGTTTTTAATACTGGCCCTTTATCAGACTTCTTTCTTACCCTTGTGGTTCTTGATTCCAGTTTTTGGATCAAGTTTGTTTGCTTTTCCCCTCCCTGTTTCTTACCACCCAGTTAAGAGGTCACCGTGATGAGAAGTCTGTAAGTGATCTGTTTGTCTTGTGCAAATATTTGCAGGTGAGCAAAACTGTAATTACAGACATCTCCAAGCATTAAAGGAAAACAGGTGAGGGAGCCCTAACACAATGATTACACCATCTAAAATGAAGTTTGGAGCCATAAATGGACATAGGAATAGCAACATTTAAGCCGTTTTAGACTTTCTGCCATAAATAAACCAATTAAACCCTCTCTCACTTAAACTTTATTTTGCAGACATCTTACCTTGCCCTGTTTTGATGCAACAAAATTATACAGGTATTGCCCTTCACCTTCAATGATGCTTGTCTGACACAAGGACTGTGGGGCATGGCCGTTTAACATTTAAAATTTGGGAGAGACATTTATCTCCCAACTCCTACTGTTGTGTCTGCTTTGGCTCAGCATGCCCAGTTCTTAACAGTGCTGAGAGAATAATTCCACGTACAAACTGAGCCCCATTGGACTCTGCAGTGCTGTTGCCTGTACTAAGTCCTGTTTTTGTTTCAGACCAACGAAAGGCCAAATGTCTAGCAAAGGTTTTTCTGTTCTTCCCCTTCTCTCCCACCTCCGGTGTTCTTACCAGTTTTGTTTCATCCATGAATTCCATTATCATCACTAGCAGATCTGGGCAAGCTGCATGTAACCTTCAAATTCACTGTAGCCTCTCAGTGCATACAAGCTCTCCTCTCCCCCTACCCTCAAAGAAACTTCCCAGGAGTCAGTCACAGTGGGTGAATGGATGTTTGTGTGGCAAATGTCTGCCGTATATTTCAGTGCTGAGTATGAACGTATGAAGCTCCCTTATACAGACTTCAGACCGTTGGTCTGTGAAGGTCTCTATTGAATACTCTGATCCGTAGTGGCTCTCCAAGGTATCAGCAGAGGTCTTTTCCGTCACCTGCTACCTGATCCTTTTAATTGGAGATGCCAGGGACTGAACCTGGGACCTCCTGCATGCCAAGCAGATGCTCTGAGCCACTAAATCTCTACAGTATACAGTGCCTCTGTTACCATTTATCGTCACAGTAGGTCCAAACACCAGTATGAGCTTAGATCTGCAGAAAACACCATGAGAAACTTCCAGGATGTCAATGGTCCTATTCGAGGTTCATGCACACAGTCCTGTGTGAGATCGCATGCATGAAGTTTCATGGTGTATGTGTTCTCTGTAATGCCATTACCCTGTTAATTAAAGACCAATTGAGTTTGACTGTTTCAGCATTTGTTCTTTTATTTTATCTTTATTTGTTGTTCCCACTCAGCATCCACCCTTTCACCGTCTTCAGTCAATGTGTACCTTTGTGTACAGGAAGGTGTATGACAACTTCCTTGAGCCTGTTGCCATGATGGTATTTCCTGAATCCCTTCCCTTCTTTTCTGAGCTGCTTCATATGGGTAGCCAGGCCTGGAAATGAAATGTCTTGTTCCCTAGGGCAGCTGGGAAGTAAATAATATCCCATTAAGTCTCTACTATAGAGGGGCTTTTCCCCCTTTCCAGTAGCTGGTAGTCCTAGATAAAGTTTTCTGGAGGAAATATTGGTATGAAATCCCTTCAAGTGTCTCTCTGTTCTGATTATATGCTTTAAAAGTGGGTGAACAGAGCATTTGTACTTGCAATGTTGTACATGCATGGTCACTATGGTTGTGAGGATCGGCTGAGGCTCCCTTTTGCATGTACTTCCAGTTACAAACACAGATGTGACCTGTGTATTGTACTAAAAGGCCCTCCTCACCAGGGAGACGGTTAGGAGACTGCTACTTGGGTGATTTCCCACTTCCAAGTGGCTCAAAGTGTCTTCTTGAGAGTTTTTTATTTTGTTGTCCCAACTGTGTGCTTGTGTGTCTTTGTGGTTACCAAGATCATTGTGCCAGAGTGTTGCCTGCTTTCCCACCCTCAATCATCTGGTCTTTTTTGGCATTTGTAGGGCTTTACCTTTAGGGCTTGTAACCCAGGAGCTAACCTGAAAAGGCATTGACAGCCATTTCCTCTGTTCAAGCTTGTGGCTGGCTAGGTTGACCTCCATAGCATCACAAGAAGCAGAGCTCTGGTGCTTTGAATAGTTAGGGGGGAAAGGAATGTAACATTTTGCTCTTTTCTGAGACCCCTTATATGTAACCCCTCTAAAGGCACCTCTTTGTAGTGTTCTGAGGTGATGTGTTTATGCTGCCTCCTTGCCTTTCTTAGCATTTCCGATTTATTATTGGTGCCACCCTAGGCTCTTGCCTTTGAATTCTTCATTGGACCCAAATAACAGGATGGCTTAGTTATATTTGGTAGAATGAAAGAACGGTCAGCATGTGGGTATGGCTCTGAGGTAAAAGAGGATCCTTTAAAATAAAAGTTATTTTCTCTTAACCGTAAAGAGAGTATTTAGAAGTATAACAGCATAACGATTTCAGCAATGGTCATAAGTGTAATGGTTTCAGAGAGGTACAGTTATTTTTTTCTCTGAAGTTCCTTAAACAGACCTAGCCATGAAGGCTTATTTTCTCATTTGCCATTAAGGCTAATAACTTCCACAAAGAACACAGATCCCTCATACTCTTCACAGCACCTCACTCAATTCTTTCCCCACACACTCTGAACCAAAACTCTCCAAACCACTCAACCCCATAGGGCACAGCTATCATCCAGTCATCATACACGTCAATCACCCATTCAGCCCCCTTCTTTCTGACTATAGAGGCCTACTTTTTTAAACCACAGCAACATATATATAAAACCGCACATTAAAATCATAGAAATAAAACACAATATTTACATGTCAAAACACCACAGGAAAGGATGTATTTCGACAAGAACCAGTAAAGTACAGTCGCACACTTAACAGTAGTCTGATTTTAACCAGCAGGATGTGAAGTGACACAAATCATCTGTTCACAGAAAAAACTTTGGCTGATCTTAAAGGCGCCCTGTTGTAAGGGCCTGAAGAAAAATGTCTGTTTAAATAGAGACGCAATGTGTGGAAATGGGGATGTGAATCTTTTCAGGGCACTGAGGTAAATAACATCTGGTAGGTAACATCCTATTAAGCCTCTACCCAAGGAACAGGACATTTTTTTCCCTCAGGCAAGCCCTATTCAGGCAGCCTGCCATTCTGTGTGTCGCTTTTCTTTTCAGCCCTCCCCGCCCCAGTTCCCATGTTCCTCTCATTTAGTAATTGATTTACTGTCTTCCTTTCTTCATTTGTTTTTGCTCTTCAGCATCAGACCACGGTAGGTATTGTCTGTGTTCCTGCCCGTCTCACCTGAGGGTGACTCAGTAGCTTCCCACTCCATGGGTGTGATGTTGGCAACACCAGTGAAGTTGTGTGTTCCTGCATACTTTGTAACACCTTGCTATGTCTCCCTTTTGCTTATGCTAAGGGAGGCAAAGCTTGAGACCAACTATGTGCCAGCTGGCAATGGGAAAGCAGCAAGGCACACGGAGAATTGGGCCATCTTTTTATATGAAGCGCCAATTTAAAGTGATAAATACAGGAATAACGTGCCTTTGGGAGACCAGTGGAGCCACAAGACCAGACTACTTCAGTAATGTAATAAGACCAGTGGAGCCACAAGACCAGACTACTAAGCTGTTCTTCAGTAATGTAATCATTGGAAACGCATCTCCTTAAACATGAGGCTCCATCCAGTCCAACATCATATCTCTCACAGCAGACAGCTAGATGGGTTTAAATTATGGGCAGAAAGGTGGATATTAGGGTGTGTTTTTTTACAGTAGGATTATTAGGATTTTATTTTTTTTTACAGTAAAAGTAGTTCTGCAGTGGAATTGGCTGCCTAGGGAGTAAGATCTCCCTCCAGACTGATAAGGAACTGTTGATGAACTCTCCTGGAGGATGGTTTGCTAACCATTTGTAAATCTACAATGTCATCCAGTCTGCGTTAGTTCGCTAATCATGAGGGACTTCGACAAATGCTTTGCTGAAATCGTGTAGACTAGGCCTACAGAGCATTCTCATGATCCACTAGACTAGTAACCCAGTAAAAAAAATAGAATTGAGAGGGGGGGAAATCCATCTGGCAGGATTTACTGTTGACAAATTCATGCTGGCTTCGACTAATCACAGCACTGTTTTAAAGATGTTCACAGGTGGATTGCCGTGATGGATTGTTTTGGCATCCTGTAGGATATTGACGTTAGAATAATAGTCTGTAGCAGAGGTCATTTCGGGGGGGATCGCGGGGGATCGCAGTTCCCCCGGGTGAGGTACGAGGGGTGGGGCACATGACGAAGCCCCGCCCCCTGCTTCCGGCCCTCATTCAGCCAGGAGGAAGCAGGAGAAGAGGGAGGGTAAGTTGCTTCAACCCTGCCTCTCCCC